GCGCGTGTGTGCGTGCGTGCGTGCGTGCGCTCGCGTGCGTGCGTGGCGTGGTAGGTGTTGGCGTCGGTGGCGGTGGTGGTGGAGCGTGGGGCTGGGCGGGTGGCGGTGGCGTGCGGGGCGGTCGGTGGTGGTGTGGTGTAGCGTGGTGGATTGCGCTAGTGGGGGGTCCTGAAATTTGGAGCTGCGTCCCCTGTGGCGTGGCGTTTGTCGCTGATCAATCTGGGCCTTCGTGCGAGTGCACTTGGTCGCAGTGCTAGCGCGGCAGCGATTCTGATCTTCTCCGATTGCGGCGCAATTCTTTAGAGTTCGGCCGTGCCAAGGCCCTAATTTGGCCACTGCTTCCTGCGCGCGCGCTGCATGCGCCCCAAAAGCGTTTTGATAGCAGGAATTTCGAGCTGAACCAAGGTCGGCATGACTTTTTTTGGGCTGCGGCGGTTTCCTGCCAAGCTCGTTTTTCGGAGCGCGGCCCCAGACCGCAACCATCATCAAAAACAGTGCCTCCCCTTTAACCACCACCACGAAAAAAAAACTTATTTTTTCATGGCCCGGGCGCAGTTTGACGCCTCGCGGCCATCGCGCGAGAATCAACGATTCGAGCCCCCGTTGGATGCTCCGCTAGTTGAGTCGCAGGAGCAGCCGCCCAGGCGCCAAGTTGCGGTTGCGATGGGCTGGGGGCTTGCTTGGGTGGTGTGTGTGTGTGTGTGTGTGTGTGTGCGTGGGGCGGGGGGGGTGGGGGGGAGAATTCGGTGTCGAATTGTTGAGCTGCTTCCCCTGCAGCATGGTATTTGTCGATGACCAATGTTGGTTTGCGTGAGGGCGCGCGCGGTCGCAGTGCTCGCGCGTCTGCGATTCTGATCATTTCCAAGCGCGGCGCAATTTGGTGCGAGTTCGGCCGCTCCCAGGCGAATTTCGCGTTGGGCGATGCCGCAATTGGGCACGTGCTTCCTGCGCCCGCGGTGTACGCGCGCGCATTCCAACGCGCTCAATTGCGCCCGCCATGAACGCGACGCCAACAAACGGAACAAACAAGCGGCACAGCTTTTTCTTAAATGGGCCAGGCGCCCAGCAGTTCACAGTTCGCGGTCATCGAACGATGGTCCACAAATTGAGTCCCTAGTGGGGCTCCGCTAGTGGAGTCCCATGAGCAGCCGCGCAGGCGCCATCCCTGTACACGCTAAGCGCGGTGGAAGTGGCGTTCGATGTTTCGTGGAATAGGATAGGGAACTGGGTCAGTGAGTTGCGCGCCCCCTGCAGCACGGCGCTCGTCGACGACCAAGTTGGGCAT